GAAGGCTGCTTTCTGACTTCACCTCAATTACATAGCATCTTTTGGTCTTTATTCACACTTCTGGCCTTCTCAAAAACAGTGTATGCGTATAACTGCATTGTTTTCATGTTTTTCATTTTAGTGCGTGTATATTCATTACGCAACAAAACACGGATACAGTGTCTGTCTACTAGATGCACAGGGGACATAAACATGCATGTAAAACTGTCCCCGCTTCTAGTGGCTTACAGTCAAAAAATGAATTGCAATTTAAATGAAAACATTACTGAAAAGCTTTTCAAATATAAATACTCTGGCATTACATGTGCCACTTGTACAGATAAGCATTTCACTCACAATAAAGATATTTAAAGGTATAAGGTACCTGTCAAAAAAAAAAAAGCTCTGTGCGTGGCACAGTTATTGATAGTGACTACTAAAATTCATAATCAGCAGACACTTCAATAAAGCAATACAACTGTAACATCTATTTATTACATATGCCTCTCAAATGCATACACAAGGAAGTTGATTGGAATGATGTGTTAATAGCACTGAATCAATCCCATCAAGAAGGAAATGGTTAAATAAACATTTCATCTATCCACTGTAATAGAACACGCTATTAAAAATGAGGCAGGCAAGGGTAGTATCTAATGTGGAGAGATTCAAGACAATTAAAGCAAGCTGCCAAACAAATAAAAAGTTTTTAAATTTCAAATGTTTTCATGATATACTTAAATTGCTTTATGTACATATTTGTATGAAAATGAACCGGGAAAGCTTTGGAAGAAAATATAGTAACTGATAAATTCCTGGAAAGAGGTGCAAGCCACAGGGGAGAGGGGCAGGTGGCAGAACAGAAGTGGACTTTCAGTTTTTATTCACTTTAATTCTCCCACGTCTTTTCAAATCTTATGTACCTTCTCAATAAGGCCTGCCTGATCAACCCATCTAAAATCACAATTCTTACTGCACTCCCTGTACTTCACCCCTTCTACTTTTTTTTTCCTTCGGCTCCTATCTGTTGTAACAAACTAAATAATTTACCTTTACTCCCATTAAGTCACTACAAGAACAGGGATTTTGCGTTTTTTCTCCCTGATGTATTTTCCAACCTCTCTAAAATAGTAGACACATAATGGTTTTTTTAATATTTATACATTTAACACTTTTTGATTTTCTTTATAACAGATAAACAAAATACTTTATGCTTTATTATAGAAAACAGTTTGTGGAGATGGTAAATTCAGAGGACTCACTTTAATTTATTAAAGCTTAGGAAGAACACAGGACCATTATTAATAGCATCTTGTAACACAAATCAAGATACTGAAATTGCCAGCAGGGACCAAAAGGAAACAGTGTCAGAAAGCTAGCCGGAGAAGCAGTGCATAAGCAGGTGAGCAAGTTGTTCCTAAATTCTGATAAGTGTTTACACGCAAACACACTTATCCTTTCACAGAAATAAGAAGCATATTCATTATGCTTTCTTAAAGTTATCACCAATGCAGTACGAATATCCACTAGGAAGCAAATGAGTTTAGAGATCATGTACTGCCTACAACTTTCAAATCCCAGTCAGAAAGATCCACAGTGGATTGCTTAAGGATCAACTAAGAGCTTGCCCTACATTATCTCTCTCTGATCTGTGCAGAAAATATACTTGCCAAAAAGTCTTGCCAGAATCCAAATAACAAATTAGTTACTGGAGCAATTTCAACAAGCACCTAGAAAATAACTGTCTTAACAAATCCTTAAGAAGAAAGACCTGCATCCAGCAGTCTATGCTAGCAAGGTAGGATCTGATGAATATCATTCAATGGAGATGTCCTGTAGTAAACCACTAACAAATGTTTTTTGAGTCAATGTGTTACTTGAAGCACCTTATTTTGTTCTACTTCAAAGCAGAATTAGAACACATTAAATTAGATACTCTTAGAAGCAAATGAAAAACCTGGACTCTGTGCTTCACTCTAGATAAAATGGGAAAGTGGGCAAGGAGACAGAAGTTCATGATATCTAGCTATGATCACTGTAAAAACCAGCATGTTTGTGATCCAGTATGTCCCAATCTGGGGCTCCATCATTGCTCCTACAGAGAAGGACAATGTCCTTCACCAAAGGTGGCATTTTAAGTGGCATTCATGTGACAAACAAGAGGAAATAGGATCTGAAGAAGAGCTACCATTGCTAAGAAGGCAGCCTGAAAATTCCAGGAAAGGTCTATGGATGTGGCAGAATGATAAAGAGAGAAGGAAGCAGAAAAGGCAGGAGAGAGTGGCTGTGGCTGTGCTGCTGGCCTCTTACCAGGCTCAACTGGCGACTGCCATTAAACTCAACAGTAAGATTTACTCCACTTAAAAAAAGGAAATGTCTGCTAATTTTAAAAGCCGAGATGATATCATTTGTAGCCCAAAGTTTTCTGTTTCATAATAAAAATTTATCTAGGTATAGTTAATTACTAAGTCTGTAAAATATTTTGGGAGCTATTTAAATAGGCTCAAATTTTCTCTAGGAAAATGAGTAAGTTATGGTCATCATTAGTCATTAGGATAATTAATCAGATGAAGTAGGGAAAAAAGTGATCTTTTAATCAAAAATGACCAGTACTGAAAGGCAAGCCAACAAGAGTGTTCCTTGCCTGCTAAGTTACTCAAGAGATTTTAAAAACAAGACTAATAGACTCAACCTAGACCTTCTACCCATTTTAAAAATATGTGCATTATTGTGAATTAAAAATCCAGAAGCAATTGTCTGTATGCTTACTCTGCTTTCTAATGACAGTAATGCTATGAATTAGAAGTAGTCATTACCTAGTCAATGCCAAGGACTTCACTAAGGGCTTTACACATTTGATATCATTAACCTTCATGGCAACTTTGTAAGTACTATCTATGATCATCTCAATCTGATGAAAGAACACTGATTTGGTCTGTCCAAATCAGACCCCTTCTTTTCTACTTCATAAGATTTTGAGGTCTCTCTCCCAAATGGATCAGACTGATACCAAGTGGGAGAATAAAGTGTTGAAAAAATAAATACACACATACAAACATAAATATATAAGCAACTGCTGCTCACCTCTGTGTGTTCTTCTTTTACTCTTCGTGACTGTAAAACAATTATATGTCCATTAATATTCACAAAAATATTGCAGGAAATACAATGAGCAGAGAAGCTAACAATCACCAATGTCATTTACCTTTTCTTGAGAAGCGGCTGCTTTCCCTTCTTCACTTTTCTCATCCATCTCGTCGTCACTCCACTCCCAGTCACCGTCTTCAGTTTTATGGAGGTGACCGCTTGACCCAGGAACTCGTCTCACCTGAATCAAAACAAGCCACACCCTCTTTCACTGGTCAAATGTGCACAGTGCTCATGGGTGCTGCAAATGGACTTACACAGCACACACACTACTCTGCAAATAACCTAAGTGGTTATCAATCCACGGAGAACTAGAAGTTAACATCCAAAATACTATACAACCCCCAGACTCCCATGCCCACCATCCTTCCAAAAATTCTGTGTTCCTGCAATGTATTACTAGACACATGTAGAACAAAATATTTTGGAAGAACACCATACTCATAAGCCATTAATGATAAAGCTCTTTTTCACTTTTACTTAGTTAACAACTTTACTAGTTACTACATATACTAAGCCATGTGGCAGACTTCAAAATTGCCTATAGAAACACAGGTAAGCAACTTACTGCTAACTGAGCAGAGGCAGGGAAAGCAGGAAGTCTAACAAAGCATGCTAGACTAGAAGTATGAGTGATCTAAGACCTACATCCACAGAGTAATACACTTCTGTTTTCACCTTGCTTTTTTCAGAACCTGACATCATGCTTGCATTCTCAGGATTCTGCTCAACCTTCTTGAACAGAACAAAACAAAACAGCATCAGACTATTCTCAGCACATTCTGTTAGCATGCTTTAGGCTTGTGAGATTAGGAACATAGCCCCGTCATCCTCAGCCTTCCTAGCCAGTGTCTAGGTTATAAACAGGTTTCCTCAATTCTTTTTTTTGTTTGTTTGTTTGAGCCAGGGCTGATGCATCCATGGGGCATGCTTTCTAAGTCTTTGTGGTTGAAAAAGCAAAACCTTTGGAAAGGCTGAGAATGAACCTCTGTCCAAAGTAATTTTCCTTTTAAAACATCAACTGAGGTGTGGGGAGCTGACAGGTGTATTGAATAAGCTACATGTTTGAGTTTGGCACAGCCCCAAACTGCAGAAGGGAGCAAGTATAGTTATGTCCAGTAAAACTGCACACTTGATTGGCACAGCCTCAGCTGCAGAAGTGGGCTGCAGAAGCTGTTTTTCCCTCTAATGTTTACATTTGGAGAGAAGCTGTCACAGGTTCCTCCTGCTCCCGAGGATCACGGTGTCATGCCTCCTCCCCGCCCCCGCCCCAGAAATGCCTCTCCTGCCTAGTGTTGCTACTGTATATAATAAATACACTGAGGTGGAGGGGCTGGTGTGTCTCCATCTGAGCACCCAGTCTACCTGGCCTACCTGTTCCAGCTTTATGCATGTTTTGTCTTCTGTCTGTTGTCTTTTCTATATCTCCCATCACCCTCAGTTAGGTTTCTAGGACATGCTTGTGTGGGATGTGAGACTAAAGCATAATTAAACAAAGCACAGCAGTGGATGAGCATGATACAAACATGACAGACAGTGGCCACAGATTCAGAGAAACTTCACATGGAAAGGAACCTTCCAGTCAATGTGTTCAACCCCTTCATTTCACAGATGAGGAGATGAAGGCCCAAAAGTGACCTGAGATCACACAGCTATGAAGGCAAAATCAAAGCAAGAAATAGCCTGCAGACTCCCATTCTCCTCATGCCCCTGAATGATTATCAGAAAGAAACTGTGTGGAAAATGTCCTATGAAGGCATGGAAAATCTATGATGTGAAATGAAGACAGATGATTTCCTACAATTGAAACTATGCAGTCGTATCACAGGCATGTCATTGAACCCAAGGGAAATAGGAAAGAACTTGAAGTGAAGGTATTTGTACAAGTCAGATCAATATAAAGCCATGAACAGCACGTGCTCAGGGTTCTGGAGATTTGACAGCATTGCTGTGTAGGACTTCTCACAGTTACCCTGACCACTTGGTCTAGACAATTTGCTCTAACAGAGAAATTTTAAAGCAAGTAAAAAGTTGTTAATAATTACAAATAGTTAGGCTTAATTATTTTTGAAAATGCTTTTTTTCCACTCCAAAAACTATTTTTTAACTAATAAACCTTTGAAACACTCAGTGCAACACCTATGTGCTTTGTGCAGGATATTTTTTTCACTTGCATTTTGAGCTGCTGTAAAAATCTATTTTAATGATAGTGATTTTAATGGTGCTTACAGATGCTGGCAAAGTACTACAGAAAATGCTGAAATGCACTTCAGGATTTTCAGAACAGATTGTTCATTTTAAAGCTGCAGAGAAATGGCTAAGGGAAGAGAAAATAATTTTCTGTTGACATAAACAACAAAATTATTTTCTTAGCAACACTAATCGTGGTGAGGGGCATTTGTTAATGACCACATCTAAAATTAAGTATTTAAAGTCATATCTATTAGAACGCATACTACTAAGAACTGAGAAAGAAATAAAAAATATGCATCAACAACAGAACAAAACACTACCTTTACTAAAACTGCAGAAACCAAGGACTGCTGATGAAGTAGTATTCTTCAAGAAATTACACTAAGGAAATCTCTCTCTTCCTGGAAAACATGCAGCTTTACACCCTACAATAGAGTTCATGGCCTTTCTCCCTCTCCCTCCATATTTGCAAGATCTCTTGGTTTTCTTTCCACAATCAGAAACCAACTATAAACAATGAAATGGCCATCCTCTTCCATTTCTTTTTTTTTTTTTTAAGAACCCTAGCTGTCTCTGTCTCTTAGGCTTATCTGCTAGAAGACAGAAAGATTATAGCCCCAGACATTGAAAGAAATGATGAAATGAACCTTCAAGCAACAAATATTGGTCAAACTACTAAGTATAAATGCTAACTAAATTAAGACAAATAACATTTAAAAATCTAAGTAGGGAAAAATATTATAATAGTAGCAAGAATAAGGATACGATTTTGTCCCTAAGAATATTCCCCCAGATTTATGTGACACTGACTTCTAGTGAAGAGACCAGAAATCATTTTTACAAAGTTACATCCTCATAGGGAGTTTGTAAGGATGAAGAAACAACTTTTACCTCTTACAGTCAAGGTACCTGAGTTTCACATAGTTTGACAAATGGTCTTCAGATTCAGGAAGTAGAGAACACTTTGAAAAGTAAAAACTTCAAAAAACAAAGACACATAAACTTGTCTATTTCACCCCACTCCCTGGGATGATGACAAGGGAGGTTATTTGCCCTTGGGATTCTAATTGCATTACTATTTTACTGCTTTTATTTGAATAAATGATTTGCTCACTCAGTAAAAGCCAAGAGGTGGTGGAAAAAAACCTATTCTCTGCTTTTGGTCATGGGGTATATGTAAAAACTCAAGTGCTTCTCAGAGAAATAGCCTCAATTTAAGTGATTCCAAGCAAAATTCATAACCTCAACAATTCCCGGTAATAGTTGCCAATAGTGAAGTTAAGAAAGTTTTTTATGCAAAACCATTTATTCCCAATACCATAAATAAAATACAACAGGGAATTTATGTTTATACGATGTCTCAAAAAAGAAAGTGGTAGATACGTTCTCTAACCAACATCTTTATGAAAATCCATTACAGAAATGAATCAAAGCTCTGACTCCCCAGAAGAGAAGATAGGCTCAGACAGATAGAGAGACAGCCATCAAACAGACAGAGGAGCAGTGTGGCTCACTGGTCAATTTTAGTGGCTACCCAGCAAGATGTCTAGGGCAAAGCAGGCATGCAGCAATCAGGAGGAGAGGGTAGCAAGGCAGGAAAAGTTGTCAGAGTGCTCTAATGGTGCCAGTTCTACCTCTCTGTGGAGTAGCTTTCCATAAGAGGTGCTACCCTCTGGTATAACGTCTCAAAAGTGTCCCTGGCCACTCACTCCAGAACAGGGAGGAAACATGTGAAGGGGAGAATGTGGAGCCAACAAACTTTCTATACAAGGATTCAGAATGTTGGGAATAGAAGTATGTGTCTCTAATACCCTACTGAACAAAAAAATGGATGTGACTGAAATACTGATCACAATTTAGTAGAACCTGTCTCATGCTGGCAGGCCATCCCTCTTCTGAATCACCTACTAGGTTCCTCCACTGCCACATTAACTTCTCCCTGGATGTGGGATTTCAGAAACTACTTAGAACGCCTTTCTCCTTTGCTGGGACTCCTGCACTCAGCCTCCCCTCCACCTGTGGAACACACTGTGTGCCTGACTCTAGCCTATACCTGGGTTATCAAGGAGCTCGCTGAGTCTGCCCAGCAAGGACAAACTAGACACAGCAGAAAACAGAACACAGTCACAATTTTCAAGTTTTCCATTAACTAAAAGTCTATAAAATTTATTTCTATTACTGTTTATAACATACTTGAGACATTGACAAGTAAATTTATAAATTATCAAAAAATCAACAAACAACATGAGACTTGGTAAGGTTTTAGCAGTAAATATTTTACTGTATCCATAACTTATTCTCTAACTTTGGCCCTTTTAAGCACCTCCTCTCTCAGAAACCCTGTCCTACACATGCTGCCTGGCCTCACTGTCCCCTCCAGCCTCTATCCTCTCCTGCCTGCCATCTTTGCTCCCCATCACACTAGGCCTGGAAACCACAGCACAGTTCCTCCTAGCCAGCCCACTCCTGAGAAAAACGCTGAGTGGGCCCACATATCCATCCTCCACCATCTTACAGATGTAGCTGACCCCATTCTTTGAACTCAAACATTCAACTCTGTGTTTGTGAATTTTTTCTTTCTACTTTTGGTTCTTCTCTGTCTTTACCATAAACATGGCCACACCTCTCAGCTCTCTGCACACTATCACCACCTGCAGTGAATACCTTCTCCATGGCCTTCCCTCCCTCGTCTTAAGCTGATGATCTTAGAAACTTCACCACTTTCTCTTATTTCCAACTACTCTGTTGGGTATAAACATCTCAATAGTTTCTCAAAATTGAGGTTGCTATCACCAACCCATTTGCCAGTCCTGAACCCCATACCCTCATTCTAACACTTCTCCTGTGCTTGCCTGAGTCAACACCTCCGAATATCTCTACTTGTGCCCCACTCCAATCATGGTGACTAAAGAGTACAGTTATCCAAAGCTCTGATCATGATGCCTGCCACAAAATAAACACTCAAGAAATCATGGGTGATATTATTAT